GCTTTACTGGTTCCCGTTCTGTCTTCAACCCACTTTAGCTGTGCATTTGTCTCTGCCACTTACTGAAGTAGCATTCATCAAGGTAACCAAAGGACACCCACCGTCTTTCCAAATACAATGGTCAATTTAGTGTCCTCATTCTACTCATTCTCTCAGTAGCATGTGACAGCTTGTCACTCCTTTTTCTTAAACACTCTTCCCTAGGTTTCCCTAATAAAACCTTTCCTGGACCAGTGCCTCAGGTATTTATTGGGTTGTCGGAAAAGTCGTGACATATTTTTTCTCTGTTTTTCATTACAAAAATGTGTCATGACTTTCCCAACAACCCCATAGCTATACTCTCCCTCCCAGGTGATCAAATCCAATTTCACAGATTGAAAGCATGGCTTTTGACCTGACTTCTCCCCTGAGCTCAAGACTCATATATCCAATTGCCCACTTCATAGCTACATTCATACTCGAAATTCCATTCCTAAAAATTGCTCCCTCCACTCCAGTATCCCTCATCTCATTAAAAAGCACTACTAGCATCTGGCAATTGCTGCAAGTAACAACACAGAAGTTATTCCTCATTCCTCTCTTTCTCCTATATCACATCCAATCCATCACCAAGTCATGTTGAATTGACTTACAAAACAAATCCCAAATCTGTCCACTGCCTGCATCTTCATCATTACCATTGCTAATTTAATTAAACAAGGAAGCCATTAGACTGAGGCACAGATATTCGTAAAATGTTTAAAATGCCTCAGTTTATCTTGTATCACTAATTAAAACAACATCCTAACTCCTTACTGAAGGGTAGTGGGATATGTCACCCAAAATGTGCCTCTTTGGTGTTAAGGATTATTTTGAGAAACCGCAGACATGTGAGTTCTGGAAACAGAGAAGTTACCCCTTTGTAAGGAAACTTACATTAGAAGGTGGGGAGGGGATGGGTCTATATAAGGGAAGAGCTATTACCAGAGGTAACTTTTTCACCTGAGCGACTTACATGCAGGCCAGCCTTCAATACTAAGCATTTCCTCTTCTCACCTTTCCAAGCACTGCCTTCCCGCCTATGAAGCCCCAGACCCTTATCCCTTTCCTCTGGCTCGGGATAGTATACAGGCCTCAGCTGCCTGGCAGCCTTTGGAATCTTTCATCTTTGTGGGGCTCCTGTATGTACATAATGAAATTTTTTATACGGTTAATCTGTTTATGTCCATTTACTCCTTAGACTGGCCCCAGAACCTGAAAGGGTATACAGGGAAGTTTCTTCCTCCCCTGCATTCCCATGCTCACAAGGCCCTTTAAAAACCGTGCAGGATCTCCTGGTTGCCTCCCCAACCCCGCCATGAAACGCTGCCTCCTCTTGCATGCTCACTATCCTACTGTAGCACAGTGGTCTTTTTTCCTGCTCCTTGAGCATGCCGGTTTTATTTCTACTGAGGACTTTTGCAGGACAAGACCAGTTTCTAATAAGTGTTCCTCTCAGAGAGGCCTTCCATGATCATCCTTTGGGAGTGGTCTCTCCTCCCAGTCATTCTTTGTCCCAGGGGCCTATTTTATTTTCTTCATAACATTTATTGTCTGAAATTATCGGATTTATTTCCCTTTTAATTATTTGTCTCCCTACACTAAAATTTTCTCATTCACTGTTATGTCCCAAGTGCGCACATGCACATACACACACAAGTACTTGGTAGGCACTCAATAAATATTTGTTTAAAGAATGTTACTGAAAAAAGAAATGCATCTTTGGGCTGGCCGACTGGCTCAGTTGGTTAAGAGCACGAGCTCTGAGCAACAGCGTCGCCAGGTTATTCCCACGTGGGCCAGTGAGCTGCGCCTGAGCTGGGCTGATGCTGAGCTGTCAACAGGTGGCAGGATGGCTCAGCTGGTGAGACCACGTGCTCCTAACAACAAGGTTGTTGGTTCGACTTCCACATGGGATGGTGGGCTACGCCCAACGACTACTAAGATTGAACACGGCACCTTGAGCTGAGCGGCTGTGGGCTGCTGAGGGGCGGCCAGATAGCGACTGGACTTGGAGCTGAGCTAGCTGCGCCCTCCACAGCTAAGACTGAAGGACAACAACTTGGCTGTTCCCCTTTCCCAATTACCCAACCCAACACTGTTCCCCTTCCCCAATTCCCGAATAAATCATAAAAATAAAATTTAACAAAAAAGAAAAGAAATGCTTCTTCAACAATATAAAAATCTGGCTGGAATTTAGGAAAGAAAAACTTAGGTATCCGGTGAAAATTTATTATGGATGTAACAGATGAGAAACTACATAAATATACTCTGCTTTTAAGATTAAAGACTTCTGTTAATGGTGCCAAGACCACTCCATAGTCTTTTCAACAAGTGGTGCTGGGACAACTAGATAGCCACATGTAATGGAATGTAATTAGAACTCTATATCACATCACATAAAAAATCAACTCAAAATAATTAATAACAGACTTAAATGTAAGAGTAAAAAACATAAACATCTTAGATAACAATGAAGTAAATCTTTGGGACCAAGGGTTAGCAATGGTTTGTTATTTTTGACACCAAAAACAAAAGGAACAAAAGAAAAAATAAATTGAACTTCATAAAAATTAAAACCTTTTTGTTTTAATGGACACCATCAAGAAAGTGAAAAGACAACACATAAAATGGATAAAACATTTACAAATCACCTATCTCATAAGAAACTTGTATCCAGAAGCTATTAAAAACTCTTAAAATGGAACAATTAAAAGACAAACTTTTTTTTTATAAAGAATGGGCAAAGGATTTGAACAGACACGTCTCCAAAGAAAAGATACAAATGGCATATTAAAAATGCTCAACATCAGGCCTGCCGAGTGGCGCGTTGGTTAAGAGCTGGCTTGGGATGCCAGAGGGCCCAGGTTCAGATCCCACATATGAGGGCCAGTGACACTGCCCTCTACAGCTAAGATGCTGAACAATAGCTCAACCTGGAGCTGGGCTGCCATGAGTTGCCGGCGATGGCGTAGGCTGCAGCCCCTGTGGCAACATAGGCTACCGTATGTAGCCAGCAGCCAGTGTGAGCGGCCAACAGCCGCAGTGAGCGGCCGTCCAGAAGCTGGCTACTGATCTGCCTCGCCAGGAAGAGCGCAATGATGGTGCCAACTTGGGCCAGTGAAGCAACGTCCTCCACAACTAGACTGAAGAACAAAAGGACAGCAACTTGTCTGTTCCCCATCCCCCAATTCCCCAATAAAAAAAATCTTGAAAAAAAAAAAAAAAGCTCACCATCATTAGTCATTAGGGAAATGCAAATCAAAACCACGCGACACTAGTTCCCACCCACTACCACGGCTATAATAAAGACGACAGGCAGTCCCGAGTGCTGACAAGGATGAGGAGAAACTGGAACCCTTCTTCATTGCTAGTGGAATTCTAAAATGGTGCAACCACTTTGGAAAACAGTTTGCTAGCTTCTCAAAGTGTTCAACAGAGTCACCATATGACCCAAGAATTCTACTCCTAGGTATGTTCCCCAAAGAAATGAAAACATATTCATTGTAGCATTATTCATAATAGCCAAAAAGTGGAAATAACTAAAGACACTAGCTAGGTTAATCTTTCCAAACCTCAATTAATTTCCAAATACACCTAATTTTCAACGAGCAACTATTCTTTTGTCAAGTAATGGGGATATAAAGATGAATAATATGATCCTCAAGTCTCAGGGAGTTTCCAGATTCTCAGTGGACATTCTCCATTAAAGCTTTGCCAAATGTGTGCAGAATGCTTTACTCTGGATATTCAGATAGCATGACAAAAGAAGGGTATACAGTATTTTGTTAAAATGAAGAAATAGCTCTGAGTTGTTAGTCAGAGAATAAACTATTTTTGACTGAGTTTCATACACTACGCATACTTAGGAAGATTAGTAATCTTGGAGCTACAATCATTATAGACATCACTGCTATCAGGAACAAGTTTCCTGAACATCTGCAGTCCAAGTCAGAATACAGCATGTCTTTCTTCTGTTTTCCTTCCCCTTGTCTATATTCTATATCCTGTTGCCTTGTGATAATTAGGTAAAAAAGTGATGGGTTTTGACTGATACGGAACAGCTCAGTGATGGGGTAAATCTGGTGTTTTCTGATGTTTCCTCTCTAAGATGCCCCATGTAGAAAGAGACAGCAGCCTATTACTTCTGTATTCCAAGTGCCTGCCACATACTAGTAAGTTTACTGAATTAAAAAATATTCCCACTACACTGCCATTATCTAAAGCAATCTTTGAACATACCAATACCATTATAACTCTTTCTCTACTGGAAATCTCACCCTTTTACTTTGTGATACATATAATTATATTTGATAAATGAACTTGCTTCTAAAAGGAAGTGAACTGCTGTTGAAAGCATCTCAGATATAATTTAGCTGGAACTGTTTAATAATCAAGAGTTTTTTAATATGTTACTATGCTTAGACTAACTTTGGGATCTCGGGCAAATCACTTAAACTCAATAACCATCAGCTTTCTTCTTTTTAAAACTGACTAACAACAATATGTAACATGTCTCTCAGGATTGTTATCTAGTTAAATGGGAAAAGCGTGAAACATTGGTATAAATAATCAAAAGCAGTATCAGCGCAATACAGCATTGCTATTTATGTGCGGCTCGCATGCATGCAAGGTTTACACAGCTTACTCAGCATACGCCCACTGAGACTGCATTAGTGTCTCTTACAAATTATCCTGTAATAGTCTTAGAGAATGAAATGACCTTGCTGGTCCTTTACTGAAAGTATATTCCAATCACTTAGTATTCTTAAACCTACAAAAATATGAAGCTCCTTGATAAATTCTCAGTTCCCAATATTGTAATTCCTTGATAAATTCAAGCTCAAATAAGGAAAATATACGTCAACATAACTTTGGTAAAATTCTATTAAAAACTATGAATGGTGCATTTTAATTCTTTGGTGTATCACAATGAAAACTATAGCTTTAAAGTTATCTTCTTGGTAATAGAAACTACGTACCTTTGCAGCACAGGCTCGCATCACCTCCTAAAAGAAATACAATAAGCAAAGAAATAATAATTTTAGTAAGATAGAAGCTCTTTTCAACACAGTCAGATATTAATATTTTAATAACCAAAATCAACATTTGGGAGTTTCTCAATCTCTTACCCTGTTGTTATCACTCTACATTGTTTCCAATAAGCTGAAAACGTTTAAATTAAAGAGGCTCAATGACACGTTCTTGGTAAATCTAACTTGTCAAAAAAAAGGGCACTGGATGGGTATGAAGGTGAAGGGATTAGAAGAGGGCAGGGGGGTGGAAAAGTAGGGTAAAAGGGGTCAAATACATGGTGATGGAAGGAGAACTGACTCTGGGTGGTAAACACACAATGTAAAATATAGATGATATATTATAGAATTGTACACCTGAAACCTATGTCACCCCAATAAGCTTTAATTAAAAACAAACAAACAAAAAAAGTGGGCTGGCCAAGTGGCACAGTTGGTAAGGAGATGGCTAGGGAATGCGAGCTCTGAGCAGCAGGGCCGCTGGTTCGGTTCCCACATGGGCCAGTGATGCTGCGCCCTCTACAGCTAAGATGGTGAACAACAGCTTGACCTAAAGCTGGGCTGCCGTGAGTCGCCGGCCCAATGGCGTAGGCTGCAGTGCGGCTGCAGTGGGCTACTGTGAATGGTTGGAAGCAAATGTGAACAGCTTGTGGCCTGCAGCCGGCGAGAGCTGCCATGAGCCGCTGTGAGTCACTGTGAACGGCCATCCAATGGCTGGCAACCGACTGCCTCAGCCGGGAAGAGCGCAATGATCATAATACCAACATGGGCCAGTGAAGCGACGTCCTCCACAACTAGGCTGAAGAACATAAGGACAGCAAACTTGTTTGTTCCCCTTTCCCGATTCCCCAATGCTGCTTCCCTCCCTCAATTCCCCAATAAAATCTTAAAAAAGAAAAAACAGAGAAAGCAAGCAAAAAGTAAAACCAAATTTTAAAAAAAAATACAAATTGGTAGTCACAAAACAGTCACGGGGATGTGAAGTACAGTATGGGAAATATAATCAATAATGTTGTAAAGGCTATATAGGGTGTTACGTGGTACTGGACTTATTGGGACGATCACTTCATAGATTGTATAAATGCCTAACCATTGTGCTATATACTTGAAACTAATATAAAATAATACTGAATGTCAACCATAGTTATATATATATATATATATATATATATATATATATATATATAACGTCAACATATCTATATCTATCTATCTATCTATCTATCTATCTATCTATCTATCTATATATGGTCACGGGATGTGGAGGACAGTGTAGGGAATACAGTCAATGGTATTGTAACAGCTGTGTATGATGTCAGAGGAGTAGTGCACTTGGTGGGGTTATCATTTTGTGAGGGACATAAATGTCTAATGATTACGTTCTTTGTACACCTGAAACTAATAATAAAACTAAATTAAATTAAAAAAAAACAAAAAAAATTCATCTAAGGTTAGAATACTAAAAAACAAAAAACGGACAAACAAAACGGCACTGACAAGACTCTGTCGGGCCCACATCTAACTGTCTCAGGAAAAACTTGTTTCCTCAATAAACTTAGCATAAATACTAAAATTCTACACCAGAACACTAACATGTCTAAAAGACACACCTGAATTAATTGAAGTATGTAATTATCTCCATAAATAACATACCCATAAATATAATTCCCATATTAATAATATATTTCATAGAAAATGTAGTAACATTACTGAATGGTACAGTATATGACCAGTACTGAAAGAGCTACAGAAAGGAACTGCCTAGAACTCATGAGACAAGGCCAAGAAAAGATCACTTTTGAAAAAGAAACTTGTAAAAGTCAACATATAATGGATGGCTTGAAAATCTGCTTCTAAGAAGACACAAAAAAGTCCAGTTAAGGTGAACCACTGTATATCATCAGCCTAATGTGGAGTTTAGACAAAAAGAGAACTGAAGAAGAGGAACACCAATTTTTATCCAGAAATTTCTAAGGACCAGATACTATGTCTAAAGAACCCTGGTAATCCAATCACTGAAAGGAGACAGTAAAACTGCCTGTGGATGTGGAATTCTGATTGCCTGGACTGCACCTCCGCTCCATTGTGTACCATCCGTGTGACCTTGGCCATATTGCTTTACCTCTGTAAATCAACTCCGTCTTCTGTAAAATGAGGTAATACCAGCACCCACATGATGATGGGTTTATGGATAAAATACAATGAACACGAAGAGCACTTAACACAGTACCCAGAATTCATTACATCAGTTATTACTCATTACTAAATAAATGCTAGTTATCAACAATCATAAGGTGAAATCTCCCATCGGGTAAAGAAAATTAACCTTTTTCAAAACTGCAATACAGCATTTTTAAACCCATCTAACCCCTATTCCTTTGACCCTGCTTAACAACCAACAGTGTGATTAACCTGGGTTTCAGGTTAATTTTAGAAAGGGACTGTGGTCCTGAGTGCTCAGGTGGCTGGAAAGGTATGCTTTTCATAGTAAGACGTTTTTTAAAGTTTTCAACTTTTTGTAGGATTGATTACTCTTAATAGGTATCCCAAATTCTGGGCAACTTTGGATGCACTGATCAGATCAAATTTCTTAGAATGTGTTGTGTGATGCTCTAAAGATACTGTCTACCTGTGAGGACTTATATGGGTTGCAGCACGCCTTTTAGGTATTGCTGTAACATTAATATACAGTCAAGTCTTTTAAATATAAAACAGTTAAATGACTTATATTATAACTAAATGGTAAAGCTACTAAAAACAGGGAATTATCTACTGTTTTGTATCCTTTACTCATTAATGAATAAACATCTATTAAATACCTGCTGACCTGAATTTGTTATGTAATTCACACAGACACAAATCATATCCTAAACTGCACTGTATTTTATTAGAAAAACATTCTTATTGTGGTTACAGAGAAAAGGTATCTCCAGTAATACAATCTTCTATAATACAGAAGTAACAGTCTTTTCTATTAGATTTCTATATAGAAGACCATTGATAATAGTTCTTAATAGATTAAGTAACAACCTAACAAAAAAAAGGAATTTGGGGCTATTATAGGAAACAAGACAAAAGGCATTATGACAAAAGGTGGGAATCCAGTCAACCTAAATGCTCACAAAATATAAAAAGAATGGAGCTGCCATGGGAATAAAGATGACATTGTTTTTATTCCCATATAAACTATATACATCTGAATAAAAACACATCGTGACAGCATCTGAAAATAAAGTTCAGTGAATTACCTCAAAACAAGAAAAAAGAAGTTCTTTCGAAAACCACAGCAAACAGACAAAGCTTTCATTTCCAAAGGCAGCCTCAATCTACCTCAACTGCAAAGCAAACATATTCTCTAAATATTAAAAAAAAAAAAATTGGTTAATGTTAAATAAAATAATGATTCTAGGAGAAATAAATTATCAATTTACTTCTCCCTTGTCTTTGATTTTATATCTTAAAAAATGTTTTTCCTTTACATCTACTTTCTTTTGTTCTTATATCCTTTCATTTTTCTGAGGATGAAAGCTATATAAGATGATATAAGAGAAAAGATACAAGACCAAGGTGATTCCAGGGTGTTAAGTTACACAGCGTAAAGACTGACAGATTACAGGAAACTTGTTTTTATATATGTCTGTTAGTTGCTCTTAAGTTTGTACATGAAAGTCATTTTACCATGCAAGATTTTGGACACTCTTTTTCCCTTGTGAAGAAATGTGTTTCTAGTTTTCTTTTTCTTATTTTTATATTTTTCTAATTTTTAAAACTCAGTATCTACTCTGATGTCCTTTCAAGACAGAATACCATGCATTATTCAATTATTTTAAAATGTTAAAATATAGAGAATAACACTAAAATAAATTTATTAACTTATAGTCATATGTTCTAAAATTTATATTGAGAAATATAAAAAATTTCTTCCATATTCAAACTAAACCTGAACTCAGAGCCGGAGTGTCATCTGTGCTGTGGTATACCTTAAAATCTCTAACTTTCAAAGAAAGAAAAGGAGACCGGAAGAAAGTATAGTCAGAACTAAAGATGTCTCAATATAGTTCCTCGTATGTTTGGTTTGAAACTAGTAAAAAAAAAGAAACAAAAAAAACCCCCCAAAACAACAACAACAAAAAACAACAGCAGCAAAAACTTGGTCAAGATTCCTATCAAAGGAGGGAAAGAGGTAATATTTATTGAGTGCCAGGCTCTGTGAAAAACTTGAGAACATGACAAGGAACAAGCCCGCACAGTCCCTGTCTTCAAGGTGCTCACGGCTAGCTCTAAATAAAAGAACTACTACGGTCAAAGGGTATAAATATTTTTCAGGATGTTTGAGCTCCTCAGTACATTTTATCACTTACCTTTAGAAAGATTTTATAGTTGTTCATCACTATCAGAACACCATACTTTTTTTTTTTTTAAAGACATTTTATTGGGGAACAGTGTGTTTCCCTAGGACCCATCAGCTCCAAGTCAAGTAGCTGTCTTCAACCTAGTTGTGGAGGGTGCAGTCCATATGGGAATAGAACCAGCAACCTTGGTGTTATGAGCCTGTGCTCTTGTCACCTGAGCTAACTGGCTGCCCCCACCCCACACTGCTTTTAGCCAAACATCCTCCTCATTGTCATCATCTATTTTCCAGTTTTATGGGTAATACCTGGTTTCTGTGGTACTTTTTCCTTAGTAGTGAGGTAGAACTTCTAAATATGCTTATGACAATTTTGTATCTCTTCTTTTTTGGAAGTATATGTTTCTCTTAAATAGTTCTTTGCTGAAGTCTATTTTTCTTTATTGTTTACTTTTTGCATACTAAGGAGGCTGTCCCTTTAATAAATTTTATGTAAATATTAGTATTTTCCCAGGTCGGTGTTTGGTGTGTGTGTGTAGTGTATATATGCACACATACACATTTTTAAACAAAGAAACGGGTCCCAGGCTGGCTGGTCTTTATAGACATCAAGTCAGGAAAGCATCACAGATTATCCTCAATTCCGAAATTCAGTCTGTTTATCTAAGTTGGTGATTTTAGAACAAGTACTAGAAAGGAACTAAAAAGTATAAAAAAGCCTAATTTTAAGTAAACTAACTCACTTCATTCAATTGATATTTATTGGTATGACAATGTTAAACAGGATAGAAACGGTTTTAAAAATTCCAACTTCTCAGCTACGTAAAATAGTTAAAACGTACTGTGACAGAATCGAGCCTTTGTTTTACTTGCTGCATCTTCACCAAAGAATCTTCAGTGTGGACATAGTCATCAATCTGAAAAGAGCCTTGCTGAGGCAATTTAGGACAGGTGCATAAAGCTTCTTCACTTTGGTGTATTCCAGGGAATGGAAATGTGCCATTGTAGCATTTGAACATTTCAGCCTCTTGCTGGGCAACTAGAAAAACGAATCCATAATTAGTTCAAACCATCATAGCAAAAGTATAATATAATAATTAAGCCATTAAAGTGTAGCATTAAAAAATGATAAGAAACTACACAATACATTTCAAATACTGGGTAATAAGACAACATCACCGGTAAAATGTGACATTATTAAATACTATAAAACCAT